TGAGAGACGCCATCTCAAATTTCAACATCATTCTGCCATAAAACATTGACTTCATGTGAGCCAGGTATCAAAGCCCATTGAACCTCTGAAAAAAAATGTTTTTATTTTTCCATATAGCCTCCTGTGGGATCTGAGCCAAGGAGGACCTTCTGCTCTGCAGGCGAGTGACTTAGCCTTGGAATTAGACTAGATTATGGATATTTAGAACTTAATATGGAGATACGACATTTGTACTCGGAGGCATTCAGTTCAATTTTTCAGAAAACTGGATTTAAAAAAAAAACACAACTGTTTCTCAATTCCACAGGAAAACAGCAATCTGTGAAAACTTTTCAAGTTGAAACATTGATTATTATCACACAAACAAAGGGTAACAGTTAGATGAATGAGTTGGTGATTGATTTGAATCTGGAGCCATCTCAAACTTTGAAGGCTTATTTCTCCTAACCGGAGTGCGTGGACATAAATAATAATAATAATAATAATAATAATAATAATAATAATAATAATAATAATAATGATAATGATAATGATAATGATGATAATATATAACATTTATATAGCGCATTTCCAAAAAAAGTAGCTCAATGCGCTTTTCATTGGAATACCCATTTTTCAAAAATCTTTCTTACTACGTCCTTTCTTCTCATGCAATATACATCAATGCACACACACACACACACACACACACACACACACACACACACACACACACACATACACACACACATACACACACACACACACACACACACAAACACACACACGCAGAGATTATTTTCATCCAGATATAGGAACAGAACAACTATAATGAAAGATAACGTTAAAAGCTTATGAGGGATAGGCCTGTAGGAACAGAACATGTTTAAGATGTCTTTTGAAGCTATCGACATAGGACAGTTGGACTCTGGGCCGACGAAGTGTCGTAGATTAGAGTTAGTTTTAGTAGAGGTTTTTCGGCGCTCCTAACTGCATAAGGTCATACGAGTGCCAGAAGATTGGAGGTGTACAAGAGAGTAACAAACATAAAAAAGAAGAAGGGGAGGCAAGGACGATAGATGTTTGATAAGAAAGAGGGAGCCAGCAAACTACACAGAGCACCCGCCAACCACCCACTTCCAATTTCATCCAACATAATATGTTCATTAGAGGAAAGATCAGGTGACAGAGTTGGCCAGTCTAGGATATTAATGCGAATGTTCTGGAGTTGTTCAGCAGCCGAGCCCTGCGATTAACTTAATTAAGTGGCTGGAGCATATGCCCGGAATCTGGTCCGTTGGGCTTCAGGTTTATATAATATATACTATACGTACCCCGAACATGATTCTTCATAGTTCACGTGATTATCGCCCTAAATGGATGACTTTGTGTAAATTCTTTGTCTCTGCATTAATTATAAAAATGTCTTGGTTATGGTCCCAAATCGATTGAAATATCTTTGTGCCTACTGCCTCAGCCTACGTGACAGGGTCTACTCCTCACCACGGGGTTTTATGCACCCCGCATAATTTGATCATTTCTTTGCATAATTTCTGATTATTTTCCTTTATCATTCTTTGCTAAAATTAACAGAATCGCATAATTTCACATTTTTGGGCTCAGTTTGCATAATTTCAGAATTTTTCTTGCACAAAACGACGGGGACAGCTATTGTTGTAAGGATCCCCCCCCCCCCCCCCCCCCCCCCCCCCCCCCGAAAAAAGCAACAACAAACACACCGCCCCCAAAATAAAACAAAATAACAACAACAACAACAAAACCAGAAGTAAACAAGTACATACACACAGACACTGACAAGATTTAGACTACACATCGTGTACATTCGTACTGTACACTGGAATGTAAAACTGACAGTAAGAGGGTATTGGTCTATTACAGGGGACTCAAGCTCATTATATGGTCGCTTTTAAGCACAAGGGGGGTATCCCGAAAAATGTTGTTTTGAGAAAGTCGAAGGTAAAGTTTCTGCCCTTGTTCCGTTTCTTTAAAAGACAAGGAGAGTTTTCTCTATTGCCAAACAAATATACACACTAATGAAACCAAACTTCTCCTATAAGCAGAGCAATACCCACTTTTGGTAAAGGTCAAAATTTCTGGAACCCCCGAAATCTGGGTTGGCCCGCTTGTCTTTAAAAGCGACCATTTAAATTTAAGATCCATCAAGACTTTCATCAACAGATGTATGAGGAGTACCCAAATAATTAAGTGACATGATACACATAAGAAAAGAAGAGCTGTGAGGGAAAGGACAGGACAAAAGGATATAGAAGTAGAAATAGGACTTAAAAACTGGCGATGGATGGGTCACACTCTCAGAAAGCCTAGAAGCCTAGCGGAAACATCACAAGACAATCGCTGCAGTGGAATGGAATCTACAGGGAGCACGAGGCAGGGGCAGGCCACGGGAAACATGGAGATGTGTGGAAAGAGACATGAGAGAGATGAAGCTCACTTGGAACGAGCCTGGATTACTTGGAAGGACGGCCCAGGACAGAGATTAAATCAGGGACGCCACTCAACTTTTTTTTAAATAGCTGAAAATCCACGCGCCACGGTACCGCTAACATGAATATCAATTTGAAACCCAAAGGGTGTACATAGATTCTATCTCGATCTCAATAACGGAATAGCGGATCAGGATCAACAAAATACCGGAAAAGTAGCATCCCTGATTAATTAAATGGAAGGAGCTTGTATGTGGCCTATACCCAGCCAGGGGTGAAAGGGATTGATGAGTACCCCGTCCTCCTAATTTCAAATGGTTTGAGGTTTGGTATCGTTTACCACTTCTAAAACAGAGAAGTTTTTCAATACTGTTTCAGATACTGATTTCATTTTTTCCCTTCTAATTCTAATTTATAGTGGAGCCACTACACACACACACACACACACACACACACACACACACACACACACACACACACACACACACACACACACACACACACACACAGCAGTGACAAAATAATGTCCAGACCATGCTTCTTAGAAAATTTGTTGCTTTTATTGACTGATGGAAATCTGCTTGTATACAAAATGGGCATGGAAAACGTAAATTTACACCTTATTATGTACATTATTTTACAATTGCAAAAAGACTCATTCATCAAGGTCAAGAATGGGAACGATGTACATTTCACAATGAGGGTAGTTCATAATTTAATAGATGACAGTATTGACAGACACGTAAAATGGCAATATGAAACATAATATGTACATTGTTGACTGTTCCAAATGGAAGTGCGTTATGCGTTTTTAATCTCAGAACAATATCTCCCTTGCAAGAGCTCTATTCTTGGACATAATAAATACACATTTTTTGGTGTTGATATTGATTTTTTTTTTTTTTTTCCTTTGAGCCAAGTCCACAATTGCCCCATCCTTCTCAGTACTTTTTAATGCCTACAAATAGAACGCATTTATTAAGTGTTACCGGAAAAGCAGAACTAAAATCTTACAGAAGAGTTATTCAGATGACATTAACTCTCCTTGTATTGACGGCCATTTAATCAGCTCGATCTGTGGTGTCGAGGCCGCGCCAATTTAATCGACCGCAAGTTCAGTTGCTGTTTCTGTTCGTTTAACCAGTTTGTTTTTCTTTTATCGCAAAACATTTCAACACCTTCACAGGTTAATGAGCTCTTCTTCCTACATCACTTTCTGAAAATCTACAGGTTTATCGTGGCCCTTCTTTGCTTGGTTTGCCTGTTCTCAAGCATCTTTCAATGTAACGATATAATGGAGAAATCATATTATACTATAAGTTCCTCTGACTGACACATTAGGCTATATTAGTTAGCGACACTTGGAAGTTTATCTGTGGAAGTCCTGAGACAGAGATTGGGACAGTCTCTTTGCCAGTTTCCTGAGCATCATCAAGTCTCTCTTGAGCCAATCACCGAGTGACCATCTTCATCATCCCTTAGTTCTAGTATGAGTTTTACTGAACTTGCAACACAAATATAGGTCATTCATTTCATTAAAAGTGTTAAAGGTTAGAGGCGTTACTAAAGACAAAGAGAAATAGACAAAGAAAAGAAGGAGAAGAGATAAAGGCGATAGATTTGCTTGATAAGAAGAAGAAATAAATAACAAATCACACAAGAGAGAGCATCCGACAACCACCCACACATCGTCCCCCCAGGCCTACAACAACAGGTGTAAAAAAAAAAAAATAAACCGAGGAAGGAAAGCAAATGTGTGTGGGAAAATAAGCCTTGAAATGGTATAGATTTATTAACGCATTTATCAACACTATTAGGTTACTTAAGTGAAGGGAAAATAAGCAAATAAGCCTTAACTTGCATACATAGATAGGGGGCCTGCAAATTACATTATATTTTTATAATCAAGACAGCCTATTATTTATATATTTATTTTTATAGTAGAGGGTTTTACGACGTTCGCAACTGCATAAGGTCATATGAGCGCCAAGGGGTGGGTGTCAACAGAGAAGTCTTTACAGGGAAATCAGACTTACTCTGCTCACCTCTCTAGCTTCAACAGCACAAGGTCTGCTTCAATTATCAAGGCACCCCGGAAATAGCAGGTCACAAGAGAGTGACAAACATACAAAAGAAGTAGAGGAAAATGACAATAGTAAGGATTAGGAAAGAAAAAGCAGCAGTTTCCTGTTGTAGATCAGGCACAGTTATGAGCATGACATGAATCAGCCCATTTACAATTCTACTGTGCTTGAACGAGAAATGTCCCCCCTTTGGGAATGGCCTAAAGACATTACAGTCAGTGGCACTGGCCCGCGGAGAAGACAGCATATCCCCACCTCCAGTCGGTAAAAAAGAAGTTTGACAGACTTGCCTCTCCCCCCCCCCCCCCCCATGCCATTTTGAATTCCCAGCCCCATGTGAACTCTGAAAAGATTTGCCGTCTTCAGAACCAGATATTGGAAATACAGTCTGGCATGAAGAACACAGACACAAAAAACTCAAAATCCTGGATATCTCGTACAATTTGCCAGTCCCCAAATGATATTTCTTTAATTTTTCGAAATCAGATAACCCCTTCCTGACCTCTATGACGAACACCTTTTGACATATTTCTTATACATAGATTTATATATAGAGAGACAGAAGCAAGATTCTGCTGTGACAAACGGCGTTCATCATGCCTTGTGAAACTGGCTGCCCATTTCATCCAGATAGCTGCTGACCTGATCAATGTGAGGACCCTGTACCGACACAGAGGGGGTGGATAGTGGTAGTGGTGGTGGTGGTTGGGGGGAGATTTCTTACACAGTCTTCAAGGAGTGTCATCGGGTAACTCATCTCTAGTTAGATATTTTGGGCTGCATTTTTATGCAACGGTGAAAGCAAGATCACCAAAAACGATGCTGCCAACCACCCACCCACTCCAGCATGTTGGAGTTATGCGTGTCGACTGTACATTTTATTCAAACCCTGAGCAACCCGGGGAAGACATCCCTATTTTAGGTCATGGCATCTCGCCAAAGGGCAAGAGCTTAAATTTACATGAAAAATAAATCGAGTAAGATGTGGCGTCGCCCCTTTGAGACTCAACTCTCATGTAGGTGAATGAACACAAGTTACCAAACACTCTGAGAGTTGAGTTACATTTTGGGTAAAAGAGGGGCGCACTGACAAAACAAAGGTCTCTTTCTAGTGCTGTGAAAAATTAAAATGTGACAGATAAATAACAGAAGGAATTGCAACAACAACAACAACAACAAAAAAAAAGAAAGAAAAAAAAAAAGGAGAATTTATTAGCACCATCCTCCAACCACATGCCAAAGACCTCGTTTCTTTTGCCTGGTCGTAAAGAGTTGGCCCCCACATCATTGCAAAAAAGTTGTCTTTTAAACAGAGGTGCCACATAGTTTTTTGAAAAACCCATAAGAACTGGAAATTTTTATGACCCCCTGGTAACCCTTACACAGGGACTAAAAAATTTGAGGATCATATTGTCTAAAAATGCATCCAATATCAAGACTTTTTCGAAGCAATCCGCCTGAAGTTGGGTGGAAACCGGACAAACGTAGAAATCCGGATTTATCCAGAAAATCGGCACCTCCGTTTAAAAAAACAACAACACAACTGACCAGCCTCAGAACATGCAGTCTTTGGTAAAATGTGCTGGGCATGACAAGAACTTTTGAACCTTGTATGTACTATGACAATAGAATGAAATGAAAAACACACACAGAAGAACCCACTTCTGACAAAGTTTGTTACAACTTAGCTTTCTCGCAACAGTCTCAGTCCCACTACCAATTGTTGTAGTTAACTCCTGACACGTCAGTGTCTTCGGTGACACGAGGTACAGTTGTGTCAGGCATTATGCACGCCGTTGTGACCAACAGGGCCTTTATGAACAAGTTTTTCTTCCGCTTCCTCATTATGCACATCTGGGCAAACTCAACTTCACTGAAGCAAAGAGACCCTTATTGAAAGCAGCCGCCGAGATATAAGTGTGGCAGGAAAAAGCTCTCCAGTCCGCTTAATGACGGAGAAGACGTTTAACAGCCTCAAAGTCTACAGGGAAGGCCCTGGCGAAAGCTACCCCCCCCCTCCCCCGTCCACTTCATGAAGGCAGGAAGGAAGGAGAAGGCTTTTAACGGCCTCAAAGTCAGAGACAATTCTTGGTGTCGTCACATAAAACCAAGAGTTTAAATGGGATATCACAAGGACAATCAGACTTCAGCCCCACTCTACAACTCTAGTGCTTTGATTATGGTGTCTCTGTCTTTGAGCGCTTTCACTATTGCATCTTTCTCTTTCTTCGTCGGCGACTTCTTCTTCTGCCTTGCGTTCTGGATTTTTCTGTATGCATCCATGACCTGAAAAGGGGGGGAAAAAAATAGTTGAAGAGAGAGGAGGAAGCAGGAAAAAGCAAGGCAAGGCAAAGCAAGCTATACAAAGAGAGACAAATTACACGTGTATCAGCATAAAACAGTCAATTGCACTAGAAAATGTAATGATTATGCATTTTTGTGTAATTCTATGAGCCGTTCTGCGTGAACGCTGCACGCATTTTTATGCCATTGTAAGCTACTAGTATATCTTGTAAAGTGCACTGAGCTTTGTAAATTTTCTAAATGTGCTATACAAATGCTGTGTATTATTATCATCGTCATTATCATTTTTAATATCATATCATTACTATTACTATTATAATCCATCATTATTATTACTATTATTATTATTATCACCACTATTATTACTTTCATTCTTATCACTACCATTCTTATTGATATTACTATTATCATCATTATTATTACCATTTTTAACATTTCATCTCCAGCGAGCCACTCCAAAGACAGCGGCTCGGGCAAATTCCTTTACGACGACTTCGACATCAAATTACTTTTTGGCAATTGCCGAAAACAGGTCTCTTTTACCGGAAGTACATTCATTAGATGAAGAACTATCAAAACAGGTTTGCTAGTTTCGATTTTATGACCCATTTAATAATGTTTTTGTCACTTTTAGATTTAGCACCAAAAAAGGGCCTCGGCGTAGTGGGTTCATCCCCCTCGGAGATAAAGAGTTAACAAGGGTCTCACCTCAGAGTCTGCAGCCTGCAGCTTCTTTTTGAGGTCTTGCCGGGCCATGTCCTCCTGGCCCTGCCTGTACAAACTCTTGAGAATGTTGATATTTTGTTGGCTGATGGCTCGCAGCTCCTGCTGCTTCCTCCGCAGCTCCGCCAGCACCTCGTCGTTGGGATCGTCCTCTTCCTCCTCTTCTTTCTCCAATATGCCTGAAGATGATAGTTAGTTTTAGTAGAGGTTTTACGGCGCTCGCAACTAACAGCATAAGATCATATAAGGCGTCAGAAGATTAGAGGTGTTACAAGAGAGTAACAAACATACAAAAGAAGAAGGGGAGATAAGGACGATAGATGTTTGATAGGAAAGAAGAAGCAAACCACACCAGAACACCCGCAAACCACCCATTGAAGATGATAATGATAGCAATAATAATAATAATTATAATAATAATAATGATGACGATAGTAACTATTCTCTTCTATTTCCAAATACGCCTTAGGATAATAATAACTGATAATAAGATCCTCTTCTTTATCCAATATGCCTTAAGATGATAATTATAACAATAATAATAATAACGATGATAATTATGATGATAATAACGATCCTCTACTTTTTTCAATATGCCTGAAGATGATAATGATAATAATAATAATAATAAGGATGATGATTATGATGATAAATCTGTCTTCTTTTTCCAATATGTCTGAAGATGATAATAATAATGAAAACAATCCCCTTCTTTTTCCAATATGCCTTAAGATGATAATGCTAACAACAACAACAATAATAATAATAATAATAATAATAATAATAATAATAATAAATGATAATGATAATAGCAATCCCTCTTCTTTTTTCAATGGGTGTGAAGACAATAATAATAACAATAATAAAAATGATGATTATGATGACGATAACAAACAATGATAACGATAATTACGGCGGTAATAACAATTGTTATAATATAATAGTAATAGTCTCCATGAATGGAGCTAGTAATCCATAGATGGTTTTGATACATAAAGTTTGGTTTGCAGTTCAAGAGACACAACTGTTTTAAAGCGTGAAAATAAACATCAACACTTTCAGAGCAGTGACAGCCCCTAAATCCTAGCACTTTCTAGAAATGCCAAGCCCTAAATGGAAAAACAAATAAATAGCAATCTTACCCTCCAGTGCAAAGACCCATGTCAAACCTTTATTTCTCCAAGGAATTAATTCCTACAAAGAATGATACTAAAAAAATAACAGTTCTATTACGGTAGCTGAAGACTTTAAAGGCCACACGGGCTGAAAAACAGAACACAGCTTGGTTATCGACAACTGTCAAAGTTAGCACTGACCCCCTAAATTGACAAAGGTCAAAAATGGCCTCGAAAGGGTTATTCGTTTTTAGTAAGAGTTTCACGGCACTTGGAACACAATAAGGTCATATAAGTGCCGAAGATTAGAGGCGTTACAAGAGAGTAACAAACACCAAAAAAAAAGAAGGAGAGGAGATAGAGACGATAGATTTTTTTACAGGAAGGAAGGAGCAAACCACACCAGAGCACCCGCCAACCACCCACATTGAAAGGGTTAAGTACAGCAAGGACAGGTCAAACCACCGTCTTGTGTGGCAGTAGTAGGTCACAATACCTTGCTCTTCTAGCTCTTTGCGTATTCTCCTCTCCAACGTGGCTGGATTTCCAATATTGAGCTGCTTGGCAAGCATGCGTGGGGATATGGCAGGTGCTTCGTCAGCACACTCTGGTGAACAAAGCACAGAGAGATGTAGTAAGACATCGCCATTTTAGTTTTAGTGAAGGTTTTTCGGCGCTCGCAACTGCATAAGGTCATATGAGCACCAGAACATTAGAAGTGTTACAAGAGAGTAACAAACATAAAAAAGGAGAAGGGGAGATAAAGACGATAGATGTTTTTTGTTTTAGTTTTCGTAGAGGTTTACGGATAGGAGGTGTTACAAGAGAGTAACAAACATAAAAAAGAAAAAGGGGAGAGATAGACGATAGATGTTTGACATGAAAGAAGAAGCAAACCACACCAGAGCACCCGCCAACTACCCACCCACAGATAGATGTAGTAAGACATCACAATTTGACACAACAACACGACTGCAATTCGATAAAGTAGATACAGATATAAGACATCATGACTGACAAAACGACAAGACTTTTTTTGTTGTTTTGTTTTGTTTTGGTAAGTGTTTTACGGTGCTTGTAACTGCATAAGGTCTTACAATACAGAACAACATAACAGTGCAGTTGGACAAAGCAGAGATAGATGTAGTAAAGTAAGACATCATGATTTGACAAAACAACTTTTAATTTCGGTAAAAGTTTTACGGCACTTGCAACAAATAAGGTCATATAAATGCCAAAGATTGGAGGTGTTACAAGAGAGTAACAAACACAAAAAAGGAGGAGGAGAGACAAGGACGATAAGATGCTTGATAGAAAAGAAGGAGCAAACCACACTAGAGCACCTGCCAACAACTCATACAACACGACTGCAATTTTGGACAAAGCAGAGACGTAAGACATCACGATTTGACAAAAGCACATGATTGTGCTTAAAGACAGACGACCCCCACCTCCTTCAATCGCAAATATCTAGACTTCTACTCAAGATAGATGAGTACTTTTTTCATTGAAAGCAAGACAAATGAACAAGCTTTAAGAATATATATACCAATAATTCCACATTCGCAAAAATTGACGAACGCCTGATTCCAATGTGTCGTAACACATTTATAAGAAATTATCTGATAAGGCCTTACACAAACACACAGGAAAAACTAACCAGCAGTATCAGCCATGGCGTCGTCCATGGGCGTCATGAGATTGTCTTCGATCAGCGCGGACACCAAGCGCTGGGTCAACGGGCCAAAGGGAGAATCATCCAGGCTGGGGACGACGGAATCAACAAACACAATCTACATCAGCTATAGTTTTAATCCCTTTCCCCCCATAGTTTTAATAAGAGTTTTATGGCACTTGTAACACAACAAATAGGTGATATAAATGCTGAAGATTAGGTGATACTAGAGTGTAATGTACAAAGAAAAGGAGGAGAGATAAGGCTGAGAGGAGAGAAGGAGCAAACCACATCAGAGCCCCCGCCAACCACCCATACTACATCAGCACTGTAGGGAAGTTTTGAGGGACATGAAAAGATCAATAAAGCTGGAATAGAAATCAAAATACAGTCAAATCTCCTCATTTGGAAACCTGTTCAAGACAATCACATATACGGATGTCCACTCCCCACTTTCCCCCTCGCATCTTAATTTTTAAAATGTCAAACAACACTGTCCAAGGCGTCCATCCGTGTACGAAAACCACATTTCCCACACAACTGCACAACGTAAGACTCCATCATACGTCAATTTTCAACAAGGCAAATGGTCAGTTTTACACCAAGCATTCGATCTATCTTATTATATGCAGTATGTGGTGCTGGAGAACATTTAAATGTACGTATTATTCATGTAATTACCACAGTAGCCAAAATTTCCCCCACGGGTACAAATAAAACTTGTACTTATCTTTTCCTTTCTTTCCCCTAATATGATTAATGAAAAAACTTACAAATAATCGTTCTTCTTCGGGTCAACTTTCTTGAGTAGACTGGACGCTTCTGAAGTTGAGTTGCCGTTGACCTCTTTGTTCGACTGGCCTCCAGACTTTTTCTTCTCACTAATTTTAGCACCTGTAAACCAAAAACGGAAAAACATACTGCAGTTCAACCTGCTCCAACGGCCACTCCCAACTTCCCCCATTGCATATATCTTTTTACATTATATTGACACCCCTGAGCGACTTCGTGAGCTTGGAATTGGATGGGGCGCCGGCAGAGGTTTAAGACTTAGTGGGAGGAGCAGAAGGCTGTGGAATCAACCATTGCTTGGAACCGTCAGCATCTACAGACTTTGAGATGTGCTTCTTCAGGGGAAGGGGTGCTTATGGGGATGCCCCTTGTACAGTGATGTCGGTCCTTCACACAAGTAAACAAGTACACAAGTAATGACACCCTGTGTAAGACAGACACCTGGCTAAATGGCCACTTTTCTTCTCGACAAAGGACGGCCATCTTACACATATTCAACTGCACTTCATTCATTCTACAAATACATTTTACAACATGGCGCCAAACAGAACAGCGAAAAAGAAAATAGCAATGGTGCAAAAGAGGGGACGGTAGGGAAGCCATACTGGGTATGTGTAGCTCCCTTCATCCTTTTTAGTTTTAGCAAGTGTTTTACGGCACTTGCAACACAATAAGTACTCATAAGTGCCGAAGATTAGAGGCGTTACAAGAGAGTAACAAACATAAAAAAGAAGGAGGGGAGATAAAGACGATAGACGTTTGGTAGGAAAGAAGAAGCAAACCACACCAGAGCACCAGCCAACCACCCACCTCCTTCATCCAAGATAATACTTGGCTCCATTCACAGTAAACATCCTTTACTTTACTCTATGGTAAGCACATTACAAAGTGACAATTATCATGACCAGATTTAGAGGTCTCAGAACACTTATCTCTGTATTTCAGCAAGCACGTTACAGAACTTGCATTACAATAAGGTCATATAAGTATAAGTGCCAAAGATTTGAGGTGTTCCAAGAGAGTAACAAACACAAAATGAAGGAGGAGGGATAAGGACAATAGATGTTTTATGGAAAAAAAGGAGCAAACCAGTTCAGAGCACCCACCAACCACCCATGAACACTTGCCTCTGCCACAGAACAGACTTCTGACTTCCAATCACATTGCTTTTTTCACTCCATTTTTCAGAGGATCGATTACATGACTCTATCCACAGATTTCATTCTAGTTTCTCATCATATTATTCTTAACCTTATCTGTACGCCCTGGGGTCATTTTGTACCCCAGGGTTGTATTCTTCACATTTTACAATACTTTTAGTACCAAGATCTCTTTGAAACTCAGTATTTCTCAAAAAATCATTTTGACAGACCGCTATGCAAAGCATACGGACTGGGTTAACGAGTAAATTTCCTCTTTGGAAAGTGGCAGTACAGAGTACCCCACGCCGTATGGATACGATAGTAAAAAAAACCGGCGTACGGATAGGGTCAATTACCTTCATTCTGTTCTTCCAATAAGTCCTCCTCTGCCCATCTTTCCGAGTAGTGGATGCCCAGTGGTGGAATTTTCATGTACTCCGTCTCTTCTTCGTAGGATTTCAACATTTCCTCAATCACCCTGTAGAGAAAATATTTGGAGAAAGTTTTTAAAAAACCAATCAATTACTACACAGAATCCTTTGCTGCTCTATGCACGTTACAACTCGATATGCATGAGAACAACAGTAATAATAACGTTAAAAGGTTTTTTTCTTCATATTTTCATACCACAAATTGGAAACAGGTGCTCTATATTACCCACAACCACAATAAAACTGACTTGCCTTAGACAATATACTTAACTAAAATACAACAAGTGTAGTCATCTGTTATCTCATGATTATTACAACAAGAATGATGAGAAATCTTGACAAAACAGTAGAAAAATGAACATTCATCCCAGTAGTGAAATTTGTTGCAAGCATAACGGAAACAGAGAGGAGAGATTCTCAAATCACAAAAAGATACAAAAATTTCCCTGTCCAATTCAGAACTTCTTCCGTTCTCACTAACATGCCCATCTTTGTGTTCAATCTGACCAGTATGTGCTGTGCATGCCCAAAACTTTGATGATGATTTTTAAAATTCTAAAGTGAAACCCCCCCCCCACAAAATAACTCATCATTCAGCAGCTCACCTCAAATCTTCTGGGGTGATTGGTGCACAGTATGGCTCCACAGACGTCCAGAATCGATTGACAGCGTCGTTCTTGTGGGCCTTGGGAACCTCAGCTGAAAGCTCCGACACACCAGAATCATCTGTCTGTCCCTTTGACTGGAAGATAGATGTTTTATGGAAAAAAAGGAGCAAACCACTTCAGAGAACCCACCAACCACCCATGAACACTTATCCCCAAAAAAAAAGTTTTTAAAAAAGTTGTTTAAATAAGACATTCAATTAAAAAATTTTTTATATAAAAGTGTGCATTAATTACTTTCTGCAACTGATTACTAAACAAAACAAATAACAATGTATTTAAACGAAATAAAACAAAAACATTCGGATGAGCATCTTTCTCGTTCCGAGAATATTCATGGCCCTTTTGCAATCCTACAGGTAATTTGGAATAAAATATATTCTGAAATGAGTTGTAGCAACGACAAAACCAACAACTTATAATGGCCTTGCCAGTATTTTTAAAAAACCCAACTTTTTAACCTCTTTTGACATAAATAAATAGCTTGCAGGCAGAAAAGTAGACTGTTTGTACACTCCTAATTAAGGCTAATTGGTGCAAAGAAATTCTTAAATAAAGGAACAAATATTTTCAAGCTACCTGAGAATTCTTCCCTTTGCTTCTGGCAGCTGAAGTGGGCGTGGCAGGCTGAGAGGACCTTCCTCCTGAATCTTTGAACTTCTTACTTGGAGGTCGTTCCTTTTCTTTATCTTCTGTTGGCGTGCCCTTCCTCTTTGTAGGTGTAGACGACTGATTGGCAGAATCAGACTGAAATTTTCAGACAAAACTCATGCAAATTTCATATGAATAACCATCCAGAAAGATGGCTAAAGCAAATCTTTGAAGAAACTTGAAAGTTAAACTTTAATTTCAATTGGGCGATTACTACTGTATTTTCTACAGTATAAGTCACGATATTATTTCTTGGACAGTACTGTAAAAAGCATTCTGACATCATGAGTATTAAGGAGGGAAGCAAAGTCAAAAGCACTCTAAACCTATACAAGTCAATTTGAGAATCTCTAGGAATACTGACACCATCAAATGATTTCATTGAGTAACAGTAACTCCATCTCTCTGCTAGCATAAGATTGTAGCACTCACCTCCAATTTTATCTCTTTGTTATGAACTGTTTTCACAGTTATTAAAAATGGAGATAGGACAAGAAAAAACAAAGGTTGCGATACATAATATTTGCTTTAACAAAAAAAAAAATTCTTCTGAAATTGCCTCCCAAATGTTATTAATTTACTTTTGGCAATCTTTTTTAAATACATTTCTGGAAGTAAAATGCTTTACTGTATTTGACCCAGATGTGCAGAAGCAGCAAAAATGATTAAGGAACTTATTTTTCTTGTAGCACTAAAGATAAACAATGAAATTGAGAAACTCACCCCCTTTCCAGAGCTGGATTTCTTCCCATCTTTCTTGTCAGGCCAGCTGGAGAGAATACTGTTCTCTGACCCTAGAAGTTTCAGTCTTTTGCCAACGGAAGCCAACAAGATTTCAATGTCAGCCTGAATAGCATCTAGCTCATCCAAGCTGATATGGCCACTCTCATCTCGACCCAACACTGTCAGAAATAAAATATATAATATATATATAAAAGGCAACTCAGTCTTCCGTCTTGGAGAAAACAAAATTCGATGACACAGGATACCGCAAACCTGCTGAATATCAAACTGCTCTGAGTACCTTTTGAGCTCTCAAAAAAGTAGAGCACAATCAAGATCTTAAATTATATATAAATATATATATATACAATATGCCTTTAAAATCAAAATCTCATGGAAATGCTTGTGGCAAGTGACTGTCACCATGTATACATTATAAATATATTAACAGTATTGTGATACAATATCTTAAATATCCCTTTTATTATCTGTTTTGTTGATGACATTGCAACATATATTTATTTTTAAATTAAAAAAAAACAACACTTACATATGTGAGGTGATTTCAAAATCCATCAAAGAATTCTTAAAATGCTTAAGGCTAACCAAAATACACTAAATTGTGATTTTACTGACAATTAAAATAAAGGTACTTCCATAGAGTCAAGGTAAATAGATTTTTAAATAATTCAACTTCCTCTGGTCAGAACTGAAGCCCCAGTATTAGTAATAACTAGTATATGCTTTCTTGTGTTCAAACATTTTAGAAGAATCATATTCAACAGTAACCTTTTTCTTGTGTCAACAGCAATTTTAAAAATTCAATTTGATGTTCTCTGAACCAAGCTTCAAGACAATGGACAATGGGGGGGGGGGGGGGGGGGGGGTCCTGAAGGTAAGCATTTTTTGGTGCTCTTTTTGACTTGTGACAAGAATTTGGTGATTTTTTTAACACAGCTTGAAACAGCTCTCCCCGAAATCCATTGGCATATATTATAACTGCTATGCAAAGGAACCCCAGATTTCCAGATGCATAGAGTCGATCCCTCCTTCCCTTTTAAGTAAACAAGAACTTACCTTGAGTGTACTTCACGCAATCCTTGGCATGATCAACGGTACACAAGTCTGGAAACTGAAGAGGGCAATCCTTGATATCCCGCTCTTTGTCCTTTTCTTGTGGGGCTTTGCCTTTGCCCTTCATATTGATGGACTGCTAGACAGAGTCCAAGATTCTGAAAAGTATTCCACTTGGACGGCCACCTATAGAGGTAAATGTATTGTGATGAGATCTAGTGTAAACCTATCTGCCCAACCTGAGTCTCATTAAAATTAAATGAACCTGCACTAACAGTCGGCCACTTGTACAAAAACGGACACTTCCCATTTCCCTTTATCCTTTATCATCATTACAGCACTGTGTCAAACGTTCACCAGTCTGAAGTGGCCACTTTTCTCATCAATAATGGGTTTCCATCTGAGACAATTTCGACGGTATAATAATACACCATCATTTAAGAAAACTATGGAAAGAAAAATTGCACCAAGCTGTAGTCTAAAGACCAGCACAAAAAGAATACGCTTCCGAAAAGAATAAAATGACAGCCCTTAGTTTAAGTTATGAAGAAATGATTTTAAAAAGCTCTACACCTGTAAAAATATGCACAGCATGCTCAGTGAGAGTGAGAATGAGAGGCTAACCTAAATTAGTAGGCAAAGCTTATAAAGTTATATAATTAAAAATCTATTTTAAAGTTAGATTTCCATTGTAGATACATATCTATATATAATATATACAATTAACCTAAGAAAAAGCCAAAGCCCTACAGTACAGTCCCACAACTAATCATAAAACTTAAGTACTGTAACTGTAGGCTAATAGATTCTAAGGGTAATTTTATAATCTAGAAATCTAGATCTAGATCTAGAATCTAGTCTAAATCTAGATCTGCCAAAAACTAAACAGTGCCAACAAGCTTACACACACAATCACAAACATTGTTGTTGTGTGCTAGTGTCATTGATTCCATGCTAAACACTTCAGTAAAGTGTGCATGTAAGTACACACACTCACACGTGAGTGTGTGTGTGTGTGTGTGTGTGTGTGTGTGTGTGTGTATGTGTGTGTGTGTCCGCGAGTATGTCTGTGTGTTTGTATATGTGCACCTGTTCAGCAGTCAGCAGTGTGTGTCACTGTGTATCGGGCTCGTTAATGTGTAGTATGATAAAAGCTATTTATAGTCCCATAACAGCACCAACCACACTTCATATTTATCATGACGCACGATTTTCGAAAGAGACACAGAGCAATACCCACTAACCTTTATACAGAATGACATACAGCACTTGTCTCTGTGGGTAGCACTTAACGTTTTTCCTTCTCCCACTGACTCAAAAACTAATCTTTTGTCTTTGTGTTCATTGACTGAATGGTGTCAAAAGCCGCAAGCAAGCACAAGCTTTCCCCCAACCGGAAGTTGTGAATTATTCGGCTCGACGCAAGCGCAGCAGCCTGCATTAAAATCAACGACCTAATACTTTACCTAGATACATAAGATAAGGGGATGAACCGTAGCAATTATACATAAACCCGGAAGTAGCTACCGCTCTGCAGAATGCATTGTCTACATGTTTCTTTAGAAAGGGATAGGGAAAAGCTTAAAATTACCTTTTCTGCTCGTTAACTTCAGAACAAAATCAGGACCGTGAGGGGTAGTAGAAAATCATGGAGAAGTTTGGCTGCGCCAACAGATTCATCAGCATGTGCAGCAACTCATTAATAGCTCATTAATTTTAAAACATCCAGGGACGCAGCATGGTAGTAATCAAGGTATTTAATGAATACCAGTTCAGAGACTATACTCTGCTCTTAGAAAAGATACCCAGGAGTAGACAATATGCGATTGTTTGAAAATACATGTTTACCCTAATGATATAAATAGGCATTCAATACAAAACAAGAATATATGTCTAACGTCTTGCAGCTCCAATCTCTCCTCCTATTCATTTATTCACAAGCTTTATCTTCCAACACTCACGCCCAAGAGAGCGTCTGAACTTCACCTCGGGAGGAAATGCTCTAACGCCAAAGATTTTATAGTAAGATATTTATAGACTAATTACATAAAGCGGTTGGTATTTAACTTCTAAAATGAATACTGGAGCCTTAAAAGTCTAAAGGGATTCACTGTTACCACTTTTCAAAACTATTAATACTAGCCAATGATAATCATCCATTTGAATAATGATATTCAAAAGCGAGGGGGAAATGGGTAGGGGTGACTTAAGTCAAGTTGATATCACATTTTTGTTTGTCAGATAGTATTAAAACACACACACACACACACACACACACACACACACTCTCTCTCTCTCTCTCTCTCTCTCTCTCTCTCTCTCTCTCTCTCTCTCTCTCTCTCTCTCTCTCTCTCTCTCTCACACACACACACACACACACACACACACACACACACACACACACACACACACACATTTCTGACCTTGAGTTTTGTTTCTTTGTTTCTGTTGTTGTTGTTGTTGTTGTTTTTTGTCATTTTGCATATTAACATAAAGGGGCCTGTTTTCCCATCACCACGATTCTATAACCATAATATTATGTTTCCACTTTTAGATAAGCCCCTCCCCTTGAAGGACTAATGATGAATGGCAGCTGTAATTTTAAAAAAAAAAATAGCCTATTAAAGCATCAGCAATAACAATGGCATTAGCAACAATAATTAACAACAACAACGACGACGACAACAACAAAAAGTACCTTACATTTTTATACCCCTCTCATGAACCCATGCAGGCGTATTATTGTCTTTTATGACAGTTTTTTTTAAAATTCAGATGCTCTGCAATTTGGTCCTGAATAAATCATTATATCGACTTCCAGAAAAGTTAAGATACCCGTTTTTTTATTATTCTTTTTTTTGTTTTTGTTGTTGTATTGTTTGTTTTGTTTCTTTGCTTTTTGTGGGAGGGTGTTTGTTTGGCTAATTCTTATGTTAGTAGTAGTAGCTGTAGTAGTAGTAGTAGTAGTAGTAGTAGTAGTAGTAGTAGTAGTAGTAGTAGTAGTAGTAGTAGTAGTAGTAGTAGTAGTAGTAGTAGTAGTAGTAGTAGTAGTAGTAGTAGTAGTAGTAGTAGTAGCAGAAGCAGCAGCAGCAGCAGCAGCAGCAGTAGTAGCAGTAGTAGTAGTAGTAGTAGTAGTAGTAGTAGTAGTAGTAGTAGTAGTAGTAGTAGTAGTAGTAGTAGTAGTAGTAGTAGTATTAGTAGTAGTAGTTGTTGTTATTGTTGTTGTTGTTGTTGTTGTTGTTTTTTGTTGTTATGGTTTTTCCCTGGCCAGGAATTTTTTCTTTCTTTTTCCCCCCTTTTCCCCCTTTTATTTATTTATTTATTTATTTATTTATTTTTATTTTTATTTTGGGGGGGGGGGGGGGGTATGATGGTTTCACGTTAGCATGAATAGGTTGTGAAATAACTCATTATTTTTAGAAAAGCACCTTTTCATTAATAGCCAACTTTGCTTAAACAGAAGAGTCAACTTAATGTGTTATTATCCGCTTGATCAGATTTTTTTTAAGCAGCCAGATCTTTTTAGAAGGCAGGTCTACATCTGAAAGAACCATTTTTCTTGCCTTCTGGGTAAAGACACTGATCTGTGTCAGTAGGCATAGGGTCGACCCCTGTGCCACCCCTAACTAGCCATGGTACGGTTATAAAGCGCTTCTTTCCCGCCTGCCACTGGAAAGACTGCCAACTTGCTACATTTGGCACCATTTTGGGATCCTCCAATCAATTGACATTAGAAATCTACCCACCCATAACCTATTAGAAATCATTTTTCTACTTCTTTCGAAAAAGAATTTCAATACAAACAAACATGGAGGTATCTTCACGTCAGATTGTTACTTTCGCTTTCGCATCAAGATCATTAGTGTTGCTTCTTCAGGTAAATTTATAATATAATTATAGTTCTGTCGAACGATAGCTCTTTCTTTCAGACTGCTGGAAGTCGCAGCAAGAGCGTTTACTTGAGATAGTCTCAGCCTCCCCCAGTTGGTGCAGCCTGAGCCTGAGCCTGAGGCCGGCAGTGGTCAGACTAAGATCTCGTACAACAAGATCACCGAATAGTAGTCTAGTAGAATCTAGATCTAGTCATTCTAGTACTGCGGTAGGCTGGCATCAACTTAGTAGGCTAGATCTAGATCTAGATCTACTTTTAAATATGAATTTATAGGCATAGGTTAGGCCTAATACAAGGAACAGAATGTATTTTAGGCTTTGGCAATCATCATAACAGTCAAAAGTCTCGCAAGATTTTACAATCTTCAAAACGTTGAACTGGGCCTAAAAATATGCAAACTACCGTAATTTTGTCATGTCCAGGTAGATCTAGATATCTAGTATATATTATAACAGTGGCTTTCGGTCTCCCATCATGAATTTGATTACCATCGAGTATAGTGTAGATTTAATTAATAGTAGTCTCTCGTTACGGAAATCCTCCCTTATATTTGAATTACGATACTAGCCTATTACTATAAATTATTATTAGATCTACTAAGTCGTCTTAGTAGTCACTAATAAGAGAGCATCTAGATCTAGTAGTAGCTCTAGATATAGATCTAGAATCTAGCAGTAGTAGTATGGTGCATATAGACTTGACCGGGCACAAGTTGTAAGGGATTTCTGTATTCCAATTTACATCATCAGTCTATCAGTTGAATCATTTCAGTTTTTGTTTTCAGTTTAATAATGACATTATGATTATGTATGTTGTCAGCCAGTGCTCTACTTTTGCCATAGTTGCATGCCTAATATTCCACATGTATATATATGTGTGTATATATATATATATATATATATATATATATATATATATATATATATATATACACCCCTTTTTTTTTTCCCAATTTCCTCTTCCCTTTTTGTTTCCCTCCCCCTGTCACCTTCTCCTCCATATCTCACCCCTCCTCCCTATCTCACCCCCCCCCCCCCCCACACACACACACACACACATACACAGACACACTCACACGTACTAACACACTCGCACACAATGAGGGATTCAGAAGGACTTCCGTAATAAATGACCACCCCAACAAACACAATAAAGAAGGGACTTGACCCTAACCCCAACCCTAACCCTGGCCCCAACCCTAACCTTAACCCTCTATAGTGGTCGCTCGTTACGGAATTCTTCCCAAGGATTCTCTGCCTATGTAGGCTTTTTGTCTCTGGGGAAAAAAAATTTAAACCCTCTTTTCATGTAAAAATAAAATTTTACTTTTACTTTTTCCTTCCTCTGGTATCCTTAGGCCTTAGGATGTCGAGGGGGAAAAATAAAATTATGAGTATATATATATAAAAATGAAAGTAGCCTCATACTGTATGTATAGTATGTTTCCTAATAATTTTTCATTTTCAACTATGATGATGAAATTAAAAGTATAAGAAAACATCATTTTTAAGGATATGCATGCAGAAGCCAATAAATGAGCTTTGGAAACTCCTAGTTGAAAATAAGAAACTGCAGTCCAGTATGGTTCTAAACCAAAAAATAAGGGCCCTAGCTGTTACAACTTCAAGCTCACTATGGCAAGATTGTATTTTTGATTTGCTCTGCCAGCTAGGACAATTCCAATTGTATCTTTTAGAAGAGATACTTTATACTTTATCTTAACTCTTTAACCCCAGAATTATTTTCGACATTTTATCTCACAAATGCCCTTGATTCACATATATGTGTACTTTAGTGTCAGTTCTAGTCTCACATTTGAGAGCTTGGGTATTTCAACTGATTTCACCCAATTTTCCCTTGCTTTGGCCAGTGAAAGATTCAGAATTGCGCAATCCAGTGTACGATTTTGATGTGACATGTTTGCCTATTCCTGGTATAGAGGGCTCCATACAGCATGTTTGAAAAGCATACTCTTTTGAACTCTTTTTTTCTTGTGAAAAATTTGTGTGTTTTTTCTACGTAAAATGAGAACACTTGATCATCAATACTCATGTACGTATATGAAATTTTACATTTACAGTTATTTAATTTTTTATTCTATTCTCTACAGTTTTTGGCTAATCTTCTGCTGCCCGACCATGATGCGGATGTGTTTTTACCTCCAGTGGATAAGAGGGAATTTTCTGTCCTGGACCACGCTGTACACTTTTTGTTCAGTGGACTTATGCGATGGGATGCCGTTTACTTTTCTCACATCGCTCATTATGGATACACTTATGAAAACTGTGTCGCTTTCTTCCCTTTTTTCCCGATTACTGTGTCCAGTGTGGCTCACGTCTTGTCATATTTAGGAGTTCTGCATTTAAGCTCATGGATTTTGCTCGCTGCTGTTATTACTAACTTTATTCTTTTTATCTTGGCAGCTCTTAGCTTCTTTCATGTTGGTAAACATGCCCTGGGTGATCCTCAAGTATCATTTTTTGCCACCATCTTGTTTTGCTTTAACCCTGCCAGCATATTCATGTCCGCTGCCTATTCGGAAACATTATACTTTTTCCTTTTAGTCCATGCTTTATTAGCTGTTAACGCAAAGGCATTCTACGCAGCTTCGTTTTTGATTGGGCTGAGTGTTCTCACTAGGTCGAACGGATTGGTTGGAATTGGATTTGTTTTGCACTCTCTCGGGAACTCGTTTTTTAAAGAGCTTTCAAGTATTCACTGGTGTGGCAAAAAGCTTACATACTCTCAAATTGTCCCTTTTTATATTTCTTGTATCGTGAAGACAATCTTCAGAGTTGTTTTATGCAGCATAATTTGTTCTGCTGCTTTCTTCGCCTATCAGTTCTTTATCTACACTCAGTTCTGCACCCGAAAAGGATCAGTGTTTGTTCCAGAACATTTGATTTCTTACGGTAGAGCTCGAGGTTATAACATAGTTGGGGATTCCCCTTCCCCATGGTGCAATGATACCTTCCCAATGTCATACACTAATATCCAGAAACATCATTGGGGTGTAGGATTTATGAACTACTACGAAGTGAAGCAAATACCTAACTTTATTTTAGCTTTTCCCGTTATTTTGCTAAGTGTTAGATCCTGTTTGTTTTTTGTCAGAAAGAGTGGGAAGAGCTTTTTTCAGTTAGGTTTTGGTAATAGTCTCAATTACTTTATGAGAAACACATCACAGGCTAGAGACAAAAAGAGGGATAGCCTGTCCGATGATGAAGTTGATATGGATGAAATTGACGCCAAGTCACAAGTGTGGAAACCTTCAACTGCTGAACATTCTCACAGAATTGTGGTGTACATCTTCCATCTGATTGGTCTGACAGTATTTGGTTGCTGTTTTGTTCACATTCAGGTTAGTAGATGTTTTTTTGTTTTTTTTTAAAGTCTTTACGCCGTGGTTTAATGTAGAGCTCCAATGGTATCTGCTCACTTGTTCTTCTTTTCAGTGTTGCTTTTACTTTTACTGTGTTTCTTTTACTTTTACCGTTGACTTTACCTGTTGCTGACAAAGTATGACAGCATTATAATGCTCTTTCTATGAAATCCAACTTAATCAGTATTTCATTCTTTGAGACTAACTGGCAAAGCTGAAAAATAATCTCCTGAGAAGCATTTTGTGACAGATTTGAGGAAAACTATTTTGTCAATATATATGAGTATTGTGTTTCTTTGTAGATGGCAGATTTGAGAGAAATTAATTTATGTGTGTCTCTGTCATGTGTAAAGACAAATTTTAAAAACATCTAAGGGACTTCAATCCTGGTGATTTCCAGAGCATTCAGACGAGATATGAAAAATGAATTTTGAACTTGAGAAGTCATCTTATGAGTTGCTTATCCTTGTTTCAATAATATTGAGTGTAAGTGAATAAAAAAATAGCATCTGTTCATCTAATAATCAATTTATGAGAGTTTGTTTATTTATAGAATGTCTGTTGTTTACTTTTATTATGCTGCACTTAGATTGCAAGCTCAAAATGCAACTCAGCACAGTGTTTCAAATGCTAAGATTAAAATTGAAAGCAATTGAACCCATATCCAGGGGCCATAATAGTAATACATAAATCAAATATACAAATAAAACTTTATATTGTTTGTTTGTTTTTGTAAAGTGTTTTACGGCGCTCGCAACTGCATAAGGTCATATGAGCGCGCGGGACACACCTAATATTTTCAGTCGGTAGGAAAGTTTGAATTTTGCCCGTGTGGCGGCCGAAGCTTACTCTTATCGATTTAAGACCACCAAGGGATCTTTAACGTGCGCAACTTGCACATGGGCCCTCCGAGATTTTTCGCCCTTGTCCGAGAAGGCTAGGTGTAAATCTTTCCTACCAGAAGATCAGGGGTGTGGCTGAAAGACAGCAGTAAGAAGAAGCGAAGGAGTAGCAGTAGAAAGGCTGCAGAAAACTTTATATAACTACACACACATATATATATATAATATATATATTCTGGGTTTTTTTTTAAGGTTCTGACAAGATTGCTGTTCTCCTCATCCCCTCTGCTGTACTGGTACTGTGGAATGCTGTGGTACAGAGACAGAGCTTCTCAGATGCCAAGCCCGAGGAGGAGAACTCAGTCTCATCCAAAGGTGCTGAACTCATCGTCATGGATGGATGTTGCTACACACAAGATTCGCTCCACTATTGTAAAATGTCAGTGTTCTCCTCTTTTGGATATTTTGGAAAACTGGGCTAATCTGAGTCTGGAATTTCAGCTCGTTGTTATTTATTTTGTTTTTTACTTCATTGTTGGAACCGTTATGTTTTCTAACTTTCTTCCATGGACCTAAGAGATAATATTTTTGAATTTTGAAATCAAAATATGTGTGGGAGAACATCATTACCAGAGAATTGAAATGCTCTTTATAATATAATATACTGTGGAACTCGGGTTCAACGAACTCGTATTCAACGAGAACTCGGATTCAACGAAAGGAGATGGATTCCCTGAGGGTTTTTTTTTCTTCTTTGTAATCAATAAAAAAACCCTCAACGAACACCTAAATCAGCAAGCTCGGATTCAACGAGGTCGATTCCAGGGTGAACAGCCCCCGTAGACGTGGCCTTGCTCATTTTTCTTCCGCAACGAACTTTATCTATTCTTTGAAACCATCCATTGCACCTGCATCGTGAACCATTGTTTACTTAACCAACTGCATGCGACCAACAGGCGGCCTTCTTTCATACCAACACATGGGACGTGTCTACTCTAGCGTGTGTTGGGGTCGGATGGTCAACCTGCACACGTGTGACTGTGTGTGTGTGTGTCACGGGGAGGATAGCACCTTTTGTCAGGGCGTGGCATGTCGCAGATACAAACCCGTCACAGTCTTTTTTCCCCCCGGCAACTGATCATTATTGCAATGATAAGATAGTCTTGATGAAGATGTACGTAATGAATTGTGTGCTGGTCTATGGAATCAAGAGTTGCCGTATGCTAGGCTCTACACAGCAACACAACTTTTTGGTAAACAATCGAGATGACACAGGCATGCATTTGAACGAATCGGTCTTTTTTTTTCACAGCTCACAATATGCAGGCATTTCAGGCACCACTTGCTACTTCTTTTTATACACTACTGGCTCAGTGCCTCTTATTATCTACAAAAAAACTAATGTTTGCCATGACGAACACTCAGATTCAACGAGATTTTAGGTCAGGCCTCGTTGAATGGAGTTCTTCACTGTTTATATGTACTTAGTGAGTTTCAATAATCTGGTAATGATGTTCTTCCATATTACATGTTGAGTAAATTTTGATAATCTGGTAATGGTGCTCTGCCATATTTACATATTATGTTGTACTTCATGTGATTTTTTTTTGGGGGGGGTTGTGGGGCTACCTTGCTATACGTGTCAGGACATGGAGGAATCGGACGCTCATCAATTTTTGAGTGGACAGAGTTATTAATATCATCTTAAAGTTTGTTCATTTGTCTTGTATTTGGCCCCCCCCCCAAAAATCCCTCTATCTTGAATGGAAGTCGAGATATTTGCGATTGAAGGATGTGGGGGTTGCGTGGTATGAGATGTAAAATTAGCAAGAAAATGATGACTCCCAAAGCTCGAGAGTCCCTGGAAATTGGAAATTTACATTTTTCATGCCTTTAATGAACGTTTTCGTTATCATCCACACAGAACTGCGTTCTTAGAGGGGTATAAAAGACGTTGAGCCCCAAAAATATCTTTTTAAAATAGCCCAACTCCCAATAAAATGCTGGTTCCTTTTGACTTCATTGTTTTGGTGAGCGCCTGATTTCACCATGCAGCCTCACATCATGGAGAAATGAGGCGCTTGTCAAAATAATGAAATCAAAGAAATCAGCAGGTTTTCCTGGCCTATGGGCCATTTTTTCTAATTTTCTTTTCTTGGCTCAACTCCTTTTATGTCCATTTAAAAACACATTTTTGTATGGATTTTACTGAAAAACATTGAGTAAAGGCTCAGAAAATGTAAATTTTCAGTTTCCAATGACTCTCAGGCTATCAAAATTACCAAACTGTGGTGGCCATTTTCTTGCAAATTTCACATCTGAAACCAGGCGACCCTGACCTCCTAAAATCGCAAATATTTCGACTTCTATTCAGCTTAGATTGATATTTTTTTTACCGAAAGAAAGGCAAATGCACAGGCTTTAAAGTGATACCAACAACCCCATATGCCCAGAAATAAAAAATCTATCGTCTTTCTATCTCCCATCCTTCTTTTTTGTGTTTGTTTCTCTCTTGTAACACTTCTAATCTTCGGCTCTTATATGACCTTATCGTGTTGCAAGTACCGTAAAACTCTTACTAAAACTAAGCGAGCATTATTTACAAAAAGAACAATAATACGACTACTTACTTTTGATAGATAAATTGGGCCATCGTAAATGTTTTGTGCATATTTACCCTTATAATGTAGAATTGGTGTATGAAATGAAGAGGTATAAGTGTATAATCAAAGGCAGTAAGTTTCATACAGGTAATGTAACAACTTTGCATGACTACACTACCTGTGGTTTACAATGGGACAGTGTACAGATTTGCTTTGATAAATCACTACCTTAGAATTACACAAAATTCTATCTACTCAGTACCTAGTTTTGAGAAATTGGACGTTAAAAATTTTAAGTTTCACAATATGTCAAGCTTTTTCGAATGCTGTTCTTTAAATATCTTGATATCGACTCAAAATAGTCTAACAATTTTGAAAGAGCAGACAGAGCATTTGATTTCTGATCTCCTCATGGTCTTAGTAACTCGAAATGGCCAAAAATGTCAAATAGAACTTTGTAGTTCTGAGGTGGGAAAATGCCCAAGTAAATTTATCAGGCTAGCATTACAATTCATTGCATTTAACTGTTGAATTTACGTAAGGAAATGCCAAAGTAAATATATCAGGCTAGCATTACAATTCATTGCATTTAACTGTTGAATTTACAAATCTAGTCAAGCTATCTAATAACGGTGTCTGTGAATTCATAGAAAATTTATGAGTCTTGTCTCAACAGTAACTAGCTCTCATGCTTAGGTCCACACACACTCAGATACACGCGCGCGCGCACACACACACACACACACACACACACACACACACACACACACACACACACACACATATACCCACACACACACACACACACACACACTCTCACACACACACACTCACACACACACACACACACACACACACACACTCACACACACACACGGACACACTCACATACAGACACTCACACAATGCCTATCTTATTGTATGCTCACCCATGCACACACACTCACCAAATTATGCAGGTAGTGGTAGGCACGCACGCACACGCTCACATACACACACATGGGCACGCACAACATACACAAACAATTAGAACAATGTAGACTTTTGTATAACTGTAGGCCTAAGTAAAACAACAACCCCAAAACAATGGCAGTGTGATTATTATTTTTTTTAAGCATTGTATTGAGTGTTGGTGATTCCAACTGTTTATACAAATGCATACGCACGCAAACTCACTCACACACTCACACACATACACACACACACAAACTCACTCACACACTCAAACACACACACACACACTCACACACACACACACACACACACGATGTAAATGTCAATTGTCAGATTTTTATTTCGATCATATTATATGTGATTTATTACACATATCATATTACATTCACTGCTCTCAGATTAGTATGGTGTAGTAATAGTATGTGTTCAACACCCATTTTAAATGCAGTAAAAGAATTTAAGAGGTGGTACATGCCTTGTATTCTGGCTTACCTGTGTAACATTGTAACGAGAACTGGATATGGGAAATCTAAACTTGTGCAGGAAAATTTTTTTTTCACAATGATGCTCCAGTCAGAGTTGCTTGTAGGGAAGTCTATTTATGTGGATTTGAAGATCCTCGGGTATTTGATACAAATACGAGGTGCATTGTTGATCATAATGAAAGGTTTAAAACTGTGATTTTTTTCTCATTGTTGATTGAGTATGAGCTTTAATGTTGGTTTTAATGTGATTGAATGCAAGATGTCACTTTATCCTGGTATACGTTATATTCACCGTTAATGATTCATCGAAAGATTTTAACGTCAAAGGGGTCTCATTTAGTGGGAAGAAAACTCTTTGACATAGAAGTCTTTGCTTGCTGATACCTTTCTAAATAATGATGATCTTGATTAGTTGAGAATACTGCTGTTCCCATATATGCTCAGCATGTTGATTTTTTTTTTTGGGGGGGGGAGGGGGGTTGTGACATCAACTGCTCTTTCATTACATTTTATAATATAGTGGAAGTAGATCTAGATCTTTTAAATGTTCAAAATGTGGCAAACTTTTCTCTGCCAGAATTGGTCTCATGGGCTACAGCAGAAGCCAGAAGTCATGTTAATCTTAAATGCCTCTAGCTCTTCTGTTTCACTGGAGAAATACCCTCCTCTAGGGATGTATTGGTCATCATCAGATATTGAAGGACAGGCTTTTATTATTATTATTACATATATTACATGATGTTAAATTTTTTTTCATATAATTACAAAAATATTGATGGTATAAGATGCTTTTTTCAACATCTTTTGTAGAATTTGGGTTTTGTTTGTTTCACAAATGATTATATATATATATATATATATATATATATATATATATATATATATATATATATATATATATATATATATATATATATATATATATATATATATATATATATGTATATAATATGTATGGTTGGCACATGTAAATATATAATATCTCGCGGGGGGGTGTTTTTAGTTGTTTCTTACGCTACAGGTTAATTAATTTGTCTCTTTTTTTAAAATGTAGACGAGACATTTATCACCCCCACACACCCCTTTATAAAATGATTTACGGGGCGGCTTTAACCCTGCCTGTCAGGGCCAACCTGCGCTGAGAGGGATGCAACGTCTCAGCAGAAAGACTGAGATACTCGATAAAAATTTCCTCCCTAAATAAGAATCAAACTCGGGGTTTTTTTACATCTATAACCCCCCCCCTCCCCCCCCCCCCCCCAACCAGGGTGATGTTACTGACTGAAGTGTGTTTAGGCCATTCCCAAAGGGGGGCTATTAACATGTTCTTATGCTCAGTAGAATCGTAAATGGGCTGATTCAACAATGCCATGCTCATAACTGTGCCCTGGCGCTCCTATGACCTTATGCAGTTGCGAGCGCCGTAAAACCCTCAACTATAAGAAAAAATAGTAACTGTGCCTGAACTACAACTGGGAACTGCCGCTTTTTCTTTCCTAATCCCTACTATCGGTTTTTTTCCTCAACTTCTTTTGTATGTTTGTCACTCTCTTACGACCCGCTTTTACCAAGGTGCCTTGATAGTCGAAGCAGACTTTGAGCTGTTGAAGCTAGAGAGGTGAGCAGAGTAAGTCTGATTCCCTGTGAGGACTTCTCTGTTGACACCCACCCCTTAAAAACTCTCCCCAAAAAAACTTCTACATCTGTGGCAGAGCGCCTGACCTT